TGAAATGGAAGCTGTACTCAAGTGCAATAATGTTATGGCAATATTGAGAGAGAGATAGCTACATATATATTGAGAGGGAGGAGGAAGAGGGAGAGAGAGAGAGAGAGCGAACGAACTGCAGCTGTTGTTGCGTTTGTTATGACCGCAATATTACGTGTCCTGTGCACACTTCTTGCAGCATCCTGAATTTTGTTTTTATTTTTTTGTTTTTTTTTTTTTTTTTGTTTTATTTGCAAGCAGTTTTTTCCGTGATACAACTTGGATACTTTGAGATACTTCGCAAATACAGTAAATTTGTTGCTCGTTATATATGTGATTTTATTTATGTAATACTTGAGGTAGTTTTTGATAATATTTATATATGTAAATAAATTTCGAATATATTATATACTGCAGTACAGTCCCGATAATTCGAAATGGCAAGATCTGTTTTTTTTTTTTCGATCTACACAGAAATTCAAATTATCGATAATTATTGAGAACAAGCTTCTTTTTCGATTTTCGATTTAGCAGCATACGAATTATCGAGACTCGACTGTATTTATCATTCGTATATCTATCTCTCTTTATCTGTTTTGTCTTCTTTTAAGTTTTTATTTCTCCTTATCTATCTTTGACAGATGAACATGGCGATGCCATGATATGAAAACAGATGTAGAGACATGCCGTTTGATTGATAGACTGGCATATGGATAGATAAATATATTGATAACTGATAAACTCACAGTGAGACAAACAGATGAAAAGATAAGAATAAAAAAAAGATGAATTGGCAGGCATAGGATAGAGAATAATAGAGGAACTAAGATAAATGCTTTAGATCGATTGACAGACAGATAGGCTGACACGTAAACAGACAGTCAGGTTAGCCAAGGCAGGCGTAGACACATCTATATAAGCATACATATAAAGACACTCACAGATTGTCTGCCATACAGAGAGTAACAAAAACAGTGAACACATTCTAATATCAATTCTGTCTTGCGCTTTCTATCAAAGCCCAAAATATTATTAGAGAATCAGTTATGCCGCTCTGTCTTCAGCTTTTGCTGCAGGCCATTGCACAATCGTAATATACTCCCCTTTATGCTTACTCCGAGCCCTGCTCAATACATATTGATGACTGCAGCTTGGACACGCCCCTTAGGCAGCTGCAGGACCTCTTTTTTGGCCTGGCCTGGTGCTACACAGCTGTGCCCTGGGCTGGCCTTTCTTGCCCAGGCTTGACTTTCCGTGGCCATTGCTCCATTTCATTTTACCGCATTTCTGTCGCAATTTTGTGCCAGTTGTTGTTGTTATAGCTGCTGTTGTTGTTGTTGTTGATGCTGCTATAGCTTGGCGTATTTTGTGATTGCACTTGCAAGTTGCGCACAGTTCATACCCGGAAATTGTTCGGTCAAAATATTTGTGAAATGCCAGGCACGACTAGCACAAGTACACACACACACACACACACACACACACATGCAATGCCCCTGGCCTGACGTTAGTTAAGTGCCCAGAGATTTGGGTTTTTGGGTATTTTTGTTACGCGGCTTGCGCGCTGCTGAATATTTCAAGCATTTAATTGTAAATTACACATACGCCCAGTGTGCGCTGTATGCATTTTTTACAATTGTTTGCCAGTTGCTGTTTGTCTTTGGTGTTGCTGTTGTTGTAACCCATTTTTTTATTGTAATGCACGGATTTGGTTATTGGAGCACGCGCCTTGGGAAAATATATATGTATACTTGTATATATATATATATATACATGCATATTACATTATATATAGTAGGCTCATTGTGTAGGCAGAAGCTAGGGGCAAGCCTTTCAAGCGTT